TTTTGATAATGCAGTTTCATACTTAATAGACTACAGTATCATATAAGCAAGCATTTTGTATGCACTGGGAAACCAAACAGTTGGTGTGACTCACTCTATTTTGATATTCCTTTATGGTAATGGTCTTGAATGGAACCTGCAACATCTCCAATGGATGCCTGTAATCATAGTGATGATGACAGTAATTATTATAATGAGGATTATTCTCTGTGATCTCCAGACAGAGAACAGCCTGCACCATGTGGGCCACATGTACCCAGAGCCCCACGCCGCTGATCATAGTGCACAACTTGTGTGTTCATAAGTGGGGCATGTGAGTGCATGTACTTGATGTGTCCCTTTATTTGACCTGTACTTTGAAAGGTAAACTGGATGAAAGAAGAAAAACAAAACAAAACAACCCAAATGCTTTTGAGCCCATGCCAACTCATAGTGATCCAATAAAACAGAGTAGAACTGCCTGTTGGGTTTCCGAGACTGTAAATATTTTCAGGAAGAGACAGCCTTATCTTTCTGCTGTGGAGCAACTGGGTTTGAACTGATGACCTATAATATTCCAGGGCTCCTTGGATGTAAGAGGAGAAAGGACTAAATCAGCTGCTACTAGACTACATTTGAGTTCTGGTGCTGCATCTCCTCTGAAGTAATTTATGGTTAAAAGAAAAGCCACTGCTTGTGCCTTAACCGATTGGCTGGGTGTCTGACTGTACCATTGGTGGCTGAGTGATTCTCTGAGCACAAAACACGGGTTTAAAGAGATTATTTTTATCTCTTTGCAGCTTAGGGGGATACTTCTCTATGCCCTCCTAAGCCAAAAAAAGAAAAATCAAACCTAATATCTATCATAGGGAGCCTATCACACCGTTTTTTCTTTCCAGTACATTGGTAACAATAAATTTTTATTTCTAACTGGTCATCAAGTTAGAGCTTGGGAAGTTAATTTGCTTTATGTCACCCAGTTATATTAATGGAAATATTACTAGGGTTTATTTTTTTAAGTCTTATACCCCACCTCCCCGCCCCTCCCTATGCCTGGTAGAACTAGAAAATGTTTCTATTGGCCTGTTACCCAAGAATTGAATGGGCTTTGTAGACTTTGGAAAATGTTACGCATTTCCTCCTTTTTTTCACTCCCACATATTGAGTTTCATCTGAATCTTTCAGGCTGAAATAAGCTATAAATTTGTTAGACAATTTTATCACATCTGTAATGCACAATACTCCAAACAGGGTTTCCTCTCAGTCTTGCTCATTCTAGGAAATTCAGCCATGCCCATGACATACTTCTTCCTTCCTTTATAACTTTCTGTTTGGCAGATCA